AGTAGGTGTGTAATAACAGAATCAGCTTTCTCAGAGTTGAGAGCAGTAGCCCATTGGAAACCTGAGAATGTGTCAAAGGTATGATGCACATATTTCAAATTTCCAAATTCTGTAAAGTGAAAGACTTCCATTTGCCATATCTCATTCCTCCGAATGCCTTTAGGATTACTGCCTGCTGGCAGCAGAGTTTGGTTATAAAAAGAACAAGTAGGACAGTTTCTCACAATCTTCTTGGCTTATTGCCAAGTGATGGAGTTCTTCTTTAAACCTTTGCTATTTACATGATGCTTTTTTATAAAATTCTGAGGCTTCTAGCACAGTGCCAATTAATAAACGATCAATCTGCATATTGGGAATCAGTAACTATGTTAAGAGGTTCTGTAAAATCCATAAGCACCATGAGAATTGCATATAATTCTGCCTTCTGTACAGATGTATACAGACTTTGAACTACTTTACTTACCTCACCTGCTTTATAACCAGCCTTACCTGATTTGTTAGCGTCAGTGTAGAAGGTAAGAACTCCAGAAATGGGAGTTTGTCTTACAATGCGTGGAAGAATCCAGACTTTCTTTTTTATGAATTTAATTCTGTCGGTTTTGGGATAGTTGTTACTAATTGTTCCCAAAAAGTCGGTAAGAGCTATCTGCCAATATTCATTATTCTTCCATAAGGAGAAAATTTCATCATTAGTTAAAGGTACTATAATTTCTGCTGGATCTTTTCCAGTCAGCTGACAAAGTCTTAATTTGTCCTTTAAAATCAAATCAGAAATCTTTCTATATACGTCTTTAACTTTTTATTCTGCTTATGTGGCAGAAATATCCATTCTAATATAGTGTCTTCCCTCTGCTTCAGAATTCCAGACGGGTATTCTCTGGATGGCAAGATAACCAGAATGCAGTCTAAATCAAGGTTTATCCAATCTACATGCGCATCCAATATTCTGTTTTCTACCCATTGTAACTCTTTTTCTGCCTCAGCAGATAATATTCGTGGACCGTTTAAATCCTTATCACATGTTAGCGCCATTTTTAAATGCTTTAAGTCATGTCCTTCTACACCAATAATCATCTGTAACTGAGAAGTTTCTCCTAGCAGCTTCTGAAGACTATTAAGAGTTTGATGACTATCCCTTCTAATTTGCACCTTCTGTGGCCTAATTCTTTGTAAGTCTACCTTATATCCTAAATAGTTAATAGAATACCCTCTTTGTATCTTTTCTGGGGCGATTTGTAAACCTCATCTAGGGAGAAATTCCTTCACCATTTCAAACATATGTTCCAAAGTTTCCTTAATAGAATCCGATAAAAGAATGTCATCCATGTAATGATAAACAAGAGATTGTGAAAATTTTTTACGAATTACTTCCAAAGGTTGTTGTACAAAGTGCAGACATAATGTAGGACTATTCAGCATCCCCTGAGGTAAAACCTTCCATTGGTATCTCCAAACTGTCTGTGAGTTACTAAGAGTTGGTACTGTAAATGCAAACTTCTCTCTATTGCTTTCTTGTAATGGTATAGTGAAAAAACAGTCTTTCAGGTCAATTACTATGATGGGCCATCCTTTAGGTATTAAGGAAGGCAATGGCATTCCAGGCTGTAGAGAGCCCATAGGTTGAATTACCTTATTTATGGCTCTCAGGTCTGTCAGCATTCTCCAGTTACCTGACTTCTTCTTGATAACAAATACAGGAGAATTCCAAGGGCTGGTAGATTTCTCTATGTGACCAGCTTCTAGCTGTTCCTGTACTAACTTTTCTAGAGCCTCTAGCTTTTCAGAGGTCAAAGGCCGTTGCCCTATCCAGACTGGTTCATCTGTAAGCCATTTTAATTCAGGGTCTTTGGTTCCTCTGAAGGTCTATCATTTGAATTTAGTGTCTGTACAGCTTGGATAGTTGGTAACCATTTTCCATGGCATCTTATCCGATCCTTCCTACTATCCAGCGATTTTCTAGAATTCTTATCTGACATTGGAGGGATGTTAATTTGAGTATTCCATTGCTGTAAGAGATCACGACCCCAGAGATTTATAGCTATATATGCCATGTAAAGTTTCAGTTTTCTTTTCTGTCCTTCCGGCCCAATGCAGACCACGGAGTTAACACTCCATCGAACTCTAGATAGAGTACCAATCCCTAAAAATTGTACATTTGCCTCTTTAAGAGGCCATTTCTGAGGCCAAGACTTCTGGGTAATAATAGTTATATCAGCCCCAGTGTCCACTAAGCCTTTAATAACTTTAGCATTGATTTTTATTTCTAACTGAGGCCTAGAATCATTAATAGAAGCTTGCCAAAATATGTGTTTCCATTTTTACCAGTCACATGTGATTCTTCATCACTATTCAAACTACCATCTAGAGCAGTATCATTTTCCACAATAGTCAAGGAACTATCTGTTTGTCCTGTGAGAAATTGTCTCCCACTGGGAATGATCAGACCTTTCTCGATGTGGGGGGGACTGCTGGAGGCCCCCTTCAGTGTTTCCCGATATTAACAGGTTCCCTTGCATGTCCCTAGTCGATCTGCATTCATTAGTCCAGTGTTTTCCCTTACCACATGTCCTACATAACCCAGAGGGCAGTGACCTTTTGCGTGGGGAATCATTAAAATTTCTTTGCCTACAATTTCTCCTTATATATCCC